CAGCACACGGCTGCGCAGGGCACCAGGAAACTTGCATACGGGTAAAGTGCTTTGCGTATCATTTCATGATCGCTTTCACCCAAGCTGCCTTCCACTTTCAAATTCTCAACCAGTTCCTCCCTATTTGTCAAAATCAAATCTTGAACAGCCTCTCTCCTAGTAGCTTTTCCACCTTCTGAAATAAAAAAATGTTTCCAATACATTCCAAGAACTTGTTGGATAATCTGTGTCTTGCTGTGGTATTTTGCCAACAGATGTCTGGGCAGTTGAAGTCCCCCATCACCACCAAGTCCTGTGCTTTGGATGATTTTGTTAGTTGTTTAAAAAAAGCCTCATCCACCTCTTCTTCCTGGTTTGGTGGTCTGTAGTAGACCCCTACCATGACATCACCCTTGTTTTTTACCCCTTTTATCCTTACCCAGAGACTTTCAACAAGTCTGTCTCCTATTTCCATCTCAACCTTAGTCCAAGTATTTATATTTTTAATATATAAGGCAACATCTCCTCCCTTTTTCCCCTGCCTGTCCTTCCTGAGCAAGCTGTACCCAATATTCCAGTCACGTGCATTATCCCACCAGGTCTCTGTGATGCCAGCTATGTCATAGTTATGTTTATTTACTAGCATTTTGAGTTCTTCCTGCTTATTCCCCATACTTCTCACATTAGTATACAAACATCTAAGATACTGATCTGATTCCCCCCCAGATCTGTCTTGTCTCTCCTTTATCGCTGCTATAACAGCCCATGCTCCCTCCCAAATTCCGACCCTTCTCCCATTAATAATGACTGAAATACTAAATTCTGAAATAGACAAAACCATTTTAAAAAAGGCAGCATAGGACCACTGAAGCACGGTAAAGACACATAAGGAGGTGAGTTGGGGGAGGGGAGGGAGGCATAGGGGCTGGAGAAGAAACAGGACCCCACAAGGCAGAGCCAAACCCTCCAGAAACCTGAAGAGTGCCCAGAAAGTGAGGAGCTGCATGTCTTCACAGCTCCTGAATTCTAGTAACTTCAGCACAGTTTACTTTTTGACTTCCTCTACCCCCTTCAACTGCCACAGTCTCTCAGCAGCACCAGGTCTAGCAGTGCCAGGAGGGTATTGGGCACTATAGCGGAGCCCCAATGCTGGTCTTTCCAGTATCTTCCATGTATCTACCTGTGAAGGCAATAGAACTACATGCAAGAGTAAAATTATGCACATGTAAGTGTTTGCAGGATTGGTCCCTTTGATTACAACCTCTTTGGGGAAGAAACAGACTTTATTTTGTGTACCATGAGGTACTGAACACAGTGTTGGCACTAAACAATTAATAATAGTAATAACATTTCCAGAAAAGACAGGTTTGTGTTATCTTAGCTCAGTGGGCCATCCAGTACCTCTGATAGCTTTCTACCAAAGGATTTATTTTAGTTCCTTCCTTTTTCTGAACTCTCAAGGCTGATTATTTCCGTCTGCTAGGTTAGAGTCAATATATTATCAAATATATTGGCCCTCTATTCTGATACCATTAATACACTGACATTTTGTCTTTGCAAGGCACTTTACTTAATGAAAAAGGAAATAAGGCTTTTTATATTACGACAAAGATTAGCCAGAGATAGGAGCTGGTTTTATCAAGCTTTGCTATACTACAGAGCACAGTTGCTTTCAAGAAAATTATTTTTTCAAATGGAGGTAGATGGCACTGACCACAGTAAACAGAATTGTGACAAGTAATTCCATTACTTTTGACTGGGTCAAGACTGCCTATGTTTATTGGTAGCCTCAAAAACAAACCAGTTTAATACTGTGGTACTGCAGTGAAAGAATTTGAAAAGCTTTGAGGGTTATTGCAATTTTTTTATGCTCCATAAAAGAGATACCAATTGTTCTTTAGTCAATCACACCTCAGTTTAAACAGATGATGTGCTACTGTGATTCTGAAAATACATTAATTATCACTTGGGGCAAGGCTGCCCCTTGGAAGCTCTTGCAGAATTAACATATATATAGAAAATCTATTTGGTTCCCATATGTTTGGCTTTCAGACTTGCAGGATCCATGCAAAAACACATAGTTCCCTTGTGCTTTGTGATAAGCAGTCTTTTGTGCCTATCAGGCTGTATATTTTAGTTCGTGTTTTCTCATGTATTCTAATACTTTGAAAGTAACAGATTTTAGTATCAGAGGTGAATAATAATACTGTATGCGTGAATGTGCCTGTGTATACATTTGTAAGTCACTGCGCTTCTGAAAGGTGCTGGATTGATAGCAATGAATACCAAAGTCCTTTGCCTTGCAGAGGTATTGTGAGAATCAGTTAATGTCTATAAAAGCACTTCAAACATCAAAATCACTATAATGCTAAGAATTTGTATTGACGTGTTGCACAGCAGCAGTGAAAGCTTCCCTACATTACCCAGCCATTTTGTCTCAGTTATGATGTGAAGGAACCATTTATAGGGGTGGCACAGCAGTTCAGTAGCCAGACCCATTCAGTCTTTGGCAACTCTGTTCAGGCTGCAATAAGGTTCTTGTTAGTTGTATTTATTTATATTGTTCCCTAAAGTATAATAAATGCCTTACAGAACTATTAAAAGTAATAAGGGCTTCAAATTAGGTTAGCTGCAGAAATTATTGGATGAAATTTTTTGGCCTGTGTTATGCAGGAGATCAGACTAGATGATCTAATAGGGCCATAAGGGACTAAAATCTATGAATCTGTGACTAAAGAGACAGGAGTGAGCTGCTCACTGAAATAAAAGACATCCCAGTGCTAGCGATGGTGTAAATGCTGGCATACCAGACTTAAGCATTTTCAGCACTGCCTCATGAAACCATGCTCTGATAATGGGAGACAGCAGTACTGAAAATGGTTTAACTGCAAGTATAGACAAGACCAAACCATGTTCAGCATAGTTCTTTGTTAGCTTTTACTTTGTTAATTAAATCATATAGTGTGTTGTTTCTGATTTACATATCAGTGGACAGGCTTTGGTGCCTCTTCTGACTTCAGGGGAGTTGCCTTCCTCCAGTAGGTTGTGAGAAAGACATAACAAGCATGGACCCCAACTATGCAATGGCCTATACCATAGTGAACTGTCATTCATGGAATTTGGCCCTCAGTATATCAGTTGGTGACCATTTTATTTTTTTTAAAAACACTGAGATTTTTTCCTACTTAAATTAACTTGGGGTTCAGGGATATTTTTAACCAGTACTCCAAAGCTGCCTTTAACATTTCTTTTGTAACATACACTAATTGCTATAACTAAGTCCCAAGAGTTCAATGCGCATCAGACTGAAAAGTGTCTTCTTCAGTTTATTAGTTTAATTTACTTTATTGGTTCTATAACATGAAAAAATACCCTTCAAACCATGGGCCAGATTCTGAGCTGGTGTAAATCAGCATTTTATATTGATTGACACCAACTGAGGATTTTAACAGTATCACATTTTGCTTTAAATATACCTATACTGGGATTTTTTTTACCCATCAGAATTTTGCAAGACATTAAGGGGACTGACGGGATTCCTGATGAAGTCAATAGGACAACTCTATGGTTTCCAAGGGAGTAGGCTGGGGTCCAATGAGCACAAAATTTGCAACGTCTGTAAACAAAAAAGAGGGAGGGGATCAGCAGACATGTAAAAATTCTGGAAAAAGATGAGCCATCTAAATAATCAAGCTAAAAGAAATATTTGTCTAGATTGCCCTCTCCTGTGAGAAAACCTGAGGAAGGGGTCTCTGCTCAGGGAGGAAAAATGTGAAGGTTACCCTTGCAGAATTTTTGCAAAATCACTTTTTTGAGAAGTTGGGGTTCTCCTAGAATGAACAGGGGGTTCCTCCCACAGAATCTATGCATGATCTAAATACTTCAGGAGACAAGGGCGACCTACAGTGAAGCCCTGTGCTTCAGTACCAGCTCTGAATCCTCCTGGGGTTCCTTTGGAATAGGATTGAGATGCTAGGCCTTCATCCAGTGACGGCTGCTCAAAAGCCTCCATGAAGAGGGGATTTTACAACATGGAGAGGCTCCACAGGAAAGTAGTTATAGCCTGAGGCCATCATTTTTCAGGTCTAATGGGGCAATATGTATTCTCCTAGGGCTGACCCATGCTCATATACAAAATCTCCAGATGCACAGATTGCTATTTGCAGGGCTTCAGGCTGGTGAAACAGTGCTGCAGAGGTGGTTGACTGGTCCCACACACTTTTTGATTCAGTGGGATGAGTTTTCCCTTCCATTCACTTGTGAAATTATGAAACCTAGAAAGGGCCAAGTTGGCCCTTGTTCCTTTCCGTGGTTAACCAGTTAGTCAACATTTCAGCCAAGACTCAGTACAGGCCTGTGAGACAAAATACTGACAGCCTATAAATCTAAAATTTAATAACAATTATGTTAAAATCTGTTTTAGCAGACCTTGGGTGTCTGCAAAAGACCCAGATGGTCCAGTTTTTGAGAACGTTAAATGGTTTCAATCAGATAATGCTGAAATATAAAAGCTCTCTAAGTGAATATTTTTCCATCAATCCATCATTCCTGAGCCTCAGGTAATGTAGCCTCTTGTTCAAATTCATTTCAGCCTCAGGGCTGTTTTCTTGATGTAATAACAGTTTAGTAATATACCACACAAATTTGCATTCAAAGTTGCTGTTGCACCTTATTTTCTCTAAAAACATTTCTCACATAACATTTGTTTAAGGGCTTGTTAGTGTTTCATATCTTCACATTTGGATTTATTTGTTTGGTGGAGAGGGTGGTTTGCTTCATAGAGAATGAATTAACAAATGTGTTCCTTTATCATTTCAAAATTTTCAGCAGTCCTGCGTGTTCTGACATGGAAAACTGAGTTTCAGAAGAGACCTGATCTTGGATCTCCTGCCAGCAGATAACCCATGTTGCGTAGGTAATGTGTTCGGGCTCTAGAGGTGTATAGTGTGCCAGCCTCAAATTCACACACTGTTTGCAGATTGACCCTGCCATAGCATAATTTCAGCTTTAAAGAAGGCTGCTTGCCTACACCTCCTGTTGAGTTCACAGACATCTGACATGTGGCAGAAGCTGAATGGGATTGATATGATGAAGATCCTTAAATCTTCATTCATCCTTGATTTTGGTTCATGTGCAAGGTCATGGAAAAACTGGGGATAGATAGAAATAATGACCATATTTTTATCCTTTATTGGAAAGGTCATTTATTTTCTTTCTTTCAACAAAGAAAAACATATAATAGTTAAAGTAGACTGGTCACACAGTCATTCACTGACTCAAAAAGGCCTTGGCTTGAAATTGTTTGGCTCTAGGCATGTCATACCACAAATCACAGACAGGTTTTGGGCAGCTGCATCGTATTACATGTGTTTTTGTTGCATTACAAAAATGTACTGAGCTAATGTTCCAAAATGATATTTTTTAAAATCTAAGGTTGTTACCTGGCCAAATTCTAGTTCAGGTAATTAATTCTGTTTACCCAATTTCCTCCTGTGTCCACTAGGTTTGCCAGGTGTCCGGTTTTCAACTGGTCAAAAAGGGACCAGTGCTGACCGGGCTCTTAAAAGTCTGGTTGGTGTGGGGCTGGCAGACTCCCTACCTGGCTCTGCGTGGCTCCTGGGAAGCAGCCGGCATGACCTTCCGGCTCCTAGGCATAGGAGCAGCTGGCCATGGGAGCTCCATGCACTGCTCCTGCCCAAGTGCCTGCTCCACAGCTCCCATTGGCCAGCAACTGTGGCCAATGGGAGCTGCAGGGGCAGCGCCTGCAGGCGGGGGCAGCTCCCAGAGCCTGCACCCAAACTCTCTTCTGCACCCCAGCCTCCTGCCCCAGCCCTTAGCCCTCTCCACATACTCCACCCCTGTGAATTCTCAGTATAGGCACCCTTCTCTGCTTGCCACACTTCCTGTCCTCTAGAACTTTCTCTTTTGTAGCCATCTTCATTCTTACTACAGAGCAACACATTGGTAATTACTAGTTGATGTCATTGGCTATATCTTTGGTTCTTTTCTTTGGAGTTCCTTGCTTTTATTATTCTAAAATTGTTAGAAATTAAGACGTATTTAATAAATGAACAAAAGAAGCAGCTCCAGCCATATGATGCCCCCCAACTCTGTGTTTAAGTACTGACTCAGAAGAGTCAGACTGAGTCTGTGTTTCTAGCCTAATCTAATTTATCTCCATTGCTATCTCACACTGTGATGGACCATTAATTATTAATTAGTTTCTTCTCATTCCCTGACTTTCCTCCCTTTTTGCAACATATCTATCTGGGTCTGGGTGGTTCTCCAGAGAGTTTAGTAGGGAAGCTGTAAAGGGTGGGTGGATTTGTCAGCTAAAAGGTTTGAGTCTATAATTTTTGCAGGTCACAGGAGGATCAGCTGATGATAGGATCAAGTGCTTTTTGGGGGAGGTTGCAAATAGTTTCAGTAACTGAAAGGAAGTGCACTGCTCTGTGATTTTTCAATGTTTTTTCTGAGACACAGTTGTGATATTTGATATTTTGCACTATAACTCACTGAGGCCCTTATGTAAAGTATATGAAGCCTACACATATCATTTTTTATTTCATGCTGTTAACAGTGATCTTTTATGCCTATAATAGTCTGTTATCAAAGACTGTCCTTGATCTTTATCCCTTCTACCCTGCTCTTTATGATCCTGTTCCTTATTCTCGAGGACAAAGAACTCTGTTCCCATCAGATCTTTGTTTGCTGAATTTACTCATACCATCTTAGAAAATCCCATTCTTTCCTTTACCTTGTATCCTTTTATTTAACGTATAATTGTGAAGCAATTGGATCCTGAGCTATTATTCTCCATTTGAAATAACAGAAATTCAATAGTAGCAAGTGGTGGAAAGTAAAACCTCACAGCTGGACAGGAAAATAACACCACACTTCAGGGAATCGTGACCTGGTTTAGCTTCAGCAAAGAGATTCAGTTTATCGGGTAGCAAGTTATATCAGGTTTTTACATTCTTTTAGAATTAGAAGGACAAAGATTGCAGGCAAGAAAACATTAAAAAAAAATATGATGATGAGGAAACAGAAGAAGAGGAAGAGTCTACTTTCACATTTCATTCCAGGGGTATTTTAGATGATGACTTCTCCATTTGTGGGATCATTGGTTGGCTGAGTGACTACGGCATTCAGTGGTTTGTGTGTTACTTGAAACAGTTTGAGACATGGAGCCAGTACAACAGCAGCAGGAACTGCAATACAAGTTTCAAAGTTAATACTCTCTGCTTTTTAGTGTCCGAATTTGGAGCCTGCAACTCTCATATGTAATTCAAGTGAAGTTACTCACATGAGTAAGGGCCAAAGGCTATGGCCCTTAAATTGATTAAATGGTGCTGGAATGGAGCGAAATTCTGTTCCCTATCTCATTGGCTGGGCACTGAACTACAGTATAGCCCAGGGGTCTGCAACCTTTAAGAAGTGGTGTGCCGAGTCTTCATTTACTCACTCTAATTTAAGGTTTCACGGGCCTGTAATACATTTTAACATTTTTAGAAGGCCTTTTTCTATATGTCTATAATATATAACTATTGTTGTATGAAAAGTAAATAAGGTTTTTAAAATGTTTAAGAAGCTTCATTTAAAATTACATTAAAATGCAGATCCTATCAGTTTAGTGTGATCCTTGCCCTTGCTTTTCCTTGCTGAGTTTTCCATGTCTGGCATGTATTTGGATATTTTAAGCTGCACACGGGCTTCTGAGCGATCAATTGTTAACCGGCTCTGAGAGGGACAGGGGACAGATTTCATGTGTGAAAATACCTGTTCACACAGGTATGTGGATCCAAATGTTGAAAGCATTGCAAACGCAATTTTCTTCAAACAGTTAAATTTCACTGGCAGGGACGTCCAGCAGGTCAGAATACAGGTCGCATGATCTTTCTTGGTAGCTTCAAGTGCACTGCGCAGATCTCCAAACTTTGATGCCCACAGTTCTGAGCTTTTTAACTGAATGAGCTGCATTTCGAAATCTTGAACACACATCCACTGAAATACAGAGAAATCCGAGTCACTTTCATTGAACTTTTCAGGTTTAATTAGAAAAGAAGGCATTAGGCCAAATCGCTGGAAATCTTGAAATCTGTCAGAAAATTCTGATTCCAGTTCTTGCATGTACATTCTAATCTCAATGTCAAATGCAGTGTGCTGTTCCACGTGGCGTGATAGTAATGTAAGCAGCAAATCAGGACTTTGAAATATCCCAGTACAGTGGTGCTGGAACAATTTTTAAGGTGGGGGTGCTGAGCTGCGCTCCCTCTTACCCCTGTTTGCACCCCTCTGTGCCCCAGGCTGGGGCCAGTGGGCCATAGCTGGGGGCAGCTGCAGAGCCCCGGGCTGGCGGCTGGGACCCCGGGCTGGCAGCAGAGCCCCCCAGACCAGTGGCCAGGACCTGGTGCCAGCAGCGGGCTGAGCAGGACTGGCGGATGGAACCCCAGCTGGCAGAGGGCTGGGGGCCGATACCCAGCAGCAGAGCCCCCGGGACTGGTGGCCACGACCTGGGCAGTGTGAGTGCCACTGAAAATCAGCTCGTGTGCCGCCTTTGGCCCGCATGCCATAGGTTGCCTACCCCTGTTATAGCCCCTATGAGTCTGTTAATCTAGATTATGAGCTGGAATGGGGGACACTGCACCTCTTTGCCCCCAGTAAGGGATTACTGGCCACTAGATCAAGCACATGAGAATCTAGTGATCTACCCCCTCCATGTTATCTCATCTGGAGCCAGCACAGAACCACAGGCTAGGCAGAGGCCTGTGCAGCAGCTACTCCACCACCCATACACCATGTCTAGTAAAGGGGCAATTATAAGGGCCTGGAATTTGCAAAAGAGTGAATTCTACCTTTAGGAAGTGTTTAGATAAATCCCCACATCCCTGGGAAAGTACAACCCTTGGCTAGTATTTTATAGTTATATAGCTGCTCTAGTTTTATGGAGCAAGTGACAAAACATTTTATGTGGTTTAGTGGGTAGGGCACAGTAGCACAAGTCCTTGGTTCTATATGTTCCTGGTTCTGCCACTGAATCACTATGTAACCTTGATAAGTCACTTCACCTCCTTGTACCTCAGTTTATCCATCTGGAAAATGGGGATAATATACATATCCAGCTTTGAAAATGAATTTGAGATCTATGGATGAAATGTGCTCAGTACTATTATTATTATTATTTATTAGTAGTAGCAATATTGCCTTTGGAGTTGTTGTTAAACAGTGTAAGCCTGTGGAAAACCTCTGCTTGCATTTAAAAAAAATGTCTCCACTTCTTAAATGTACATTATGATTAAGGCTAAGATTTTGTCATGGATATTTGTAGTAAAAGTCATGGGTAAGTCATGGGTAATAAAGAAACATTCACGGAAGCCCGTGACCTGTCCCTAACTTTTACTACAAACATCCATGATAAAATGGGAAGGGACTAGGCAGTTGCAGGGTGGCTGGGAGCTCCGGGGTCCCCACCACCCATGGGGGCTCAGAGCTCCAGGGTCCCCCTGCCCTCTCCCCAGTGGCTAGGAGCTGTGTGAATTCCCCTGCCACCTCCACAGTGGGGAGCTGCTGCGGTCCCTCTGCCCCACCGTGGTGGCTGGGGAGCCACGGGGATCCGCCTGCCCCCTTGCCCCACAGTGGCAGGGAGCTGCAGGGATCTCCCTGCTGCTGTGGCTGGCAGGGAGCTGCCGGGGTCCCCTTGTCCTCCACAGCAGCTGGAAGCTGAGGAGTACCCTCCTCTGCCCGTGGCAGCTGGAAGCTGCAGGGTACCCCCACCGCCCATATTGGCTGGGAGCTTGGGGGGCCGCTGCCGCGGCGGGGGTACCACACAGCTCCCTGCCACTGTAGGACCCTGTAGCTCCCAGCCACTGGGGCTGAATTCACAGTTATGGGAAGTCATGGATTCCGTGACTTCGACAACCTGCGTGACAAAATCGTAGCCTTAATTATGATTTCCAAAAGGATTTTTATTGTTGGTTTCAGAATTTTAAAGTGCACTTAAATACTAAATACTTATTAAAATATGTTCACTATGGTTCCCTTTTCATGATGGTCAATTTGAAATGGCTAGTTAGAAATACATGTAATTTTTTTTTTGCATTGATACAGCACTGATTAACTGACATTGAAATATCACAGCAATATAGTTATATAAAAATATAGTCTGACCTGTTCAGCTATGCATTCACTTACTTGCTCACCACAGCTCTCTGCGATCTTTTGCTACTACAGTATATTTCTCCTATGATTAAATTTATATCTTTGTTTCTGAGAGTACAGTCAGAGTCTACAGATTATTTTAACTTAGTTTTTCATTGTTAATTACTTTTCTTTCTGGGATCAGGTGCAGATTACCGTGTAATTAAAATGTTCTTTTGATATGCCATGGAGTGTAATACTCCTCTGAACATGATACCAAAGCAGTAGCTATGTTAAGACTGAGCCAGACTTTGTGTAAAATTTCTTTGTAGCATATATTAATGTGTGTTTAGAAGATTATGCTTTATTTATAACAGAGTTATTTAAAGTCATGTTTCATGCATTACTTTGGAATCCACATTAGAAGCAACTGCTGTCGTCCTGTATTAATAGTTGTTCATTATATGACCTCATTGCCGCAATACATTTTATTTAAAAAAAGAAAGTGACAGCTTTAAAAAATAAAAATAAAAAAAAGTGAAACACATTGCTGTGCTAAATTTTTGTTTTGCTCTTTACTAATTGTCAAAATAATTTTGCTTTCAAAATTCATTCATAAAAATGATATTAGAAGTATCTGATAGTTTTGTGTGAAATTAGTTTTAGGCAAGGTTAATAGGCAGGTATCCTCATCACAAATTATGTTAATAGTACTCTTGTTTCCAATCACAGGACTGAATGAGCCATGAATGTTAGGCCTGGGGCATATTGGAAAGGTGATATGACAGTAGCAGCCCTGCTACCTGTGTTGTATCTGTTCAGTGGATAAATAACAGACCTTAGTTTCTCAGGCTGTCAGTCAGCACCTTTTGCCAACACTACATTCACTTAAGCACAATGCTGCCACTTGTTTTTAAAATCCTCTGAAAGATGTTATTTGTAGTGGGAACTTTAACAGGAATTTACAGTGACACAGATACTGTCCCTTATCTTATGTCCCTTAAACTCAGTTCTCATCACTGGCTATTAGGCATTTCTCATGCATCATTAGGGCCACATCTCTGACAGTGACAAATTTCATGGGAGAGGATCTCTTCTGTGCCCTTTTGACTAATTTCAGAGTAACAGCCGTGTTAGTCTGTATTCGCAAAAAGAAAAGGAGTACCTGTGGCACCTTAGAGACTAACCAATTTATTTGAGCATAAGCTTTCGTGAGCTACGAAAGCTTATGCTCAAATAAATTGGTTAGTCTCTAAGGTGCCACAGGTACTCCTTTTCTTTTTAGTGACCCTATGGTTGCTTTACCTTATGTTGAGGGCCATCTCAACTCCTGTAGCAACCCAGAATCTGTATGATGAAAAGGCCATCTTTGTCTTTCTTCCCTTGGGCTGTGCCATCTGTACTGGACCCCTCAGGAGATGCAGCAGCTTCCCCCATAATCAAAGACCTTGTCTGAAGTAGAAAGGGTTTGTCAGTATTGATATACTCCACTCCCCTAGTGGAGATGCCACTGTACTGGGAAAAGATGCTTTTGCTGGTACAACTTATACCATTTCCCCAAACAAAATAAATTATACTAGCAAACGGACAAAACTTTTTCTGGAATAGCTATGTTGGTTAGGGGTGTGATTCCCCCCCCCCCCCCACATTCCTCACAGATACAGCAACGGCCACAAAACTTTTAAGTGTAGACCAGGCCTTACACTTCGAGAGCCCATATGCTTTCTCCCCATATCGTCCTGTTCTCAGACCCTTTGTCAGGCAGCCTTTCAGAAACTGCTCTAAAACCATGTGTCATCAGCCCCTTCTTGCTGCCTGAAATTGAAGTTCTTTAGAGTCTGTGACCCTTTTTGATGTTAAAGGTGTGACAAAATCCATTATAGTGTCAGGTTTCAGAGGAACAGCCGTGTTAATCTGTATTCGCAAAAAGAAAAGGAGTACTTGTGGCACCTTAGAGACTAACCAATTTATTTGAGCATGAGCTTTCGTGAGCTACAGCTCACTTCATCAGATGCATACCGTGGAAACTGCAGCAGACTTTATATATACACAGAGAATATGAAACAATACCTCCTCCCACCCCACTGTCCTGCTGGTAATAGCTTATCTAAAGTGATCAACAGGTGGGCCATTTCCAGCACAAATCCAGGTTTTCTCACCCTCCACCCCCCCCACACAAATTCACTCTCCTGCTGGTGCTAGCCCATCCAAAGTGACAACTCTTTACATAATCAAGTCGGGCTATTTCCTGCACAAATCCAGGTTTTCTCACATCCCCCCCACCCCCATACACACACAAACTCACTCTCCTGCTGGTAATAGCTCATCCAAACTGACCACTCTCCAAGTTTAAATCCAAGTTAAACCAGAACATCTGGGGTGGGGGTAGGAAAAAACAAGAGGAAACAGGCTACCTTGCATAATGACTTAGCCACTCCCAGTCTCTATTTAAGCCTAAATTAATAGTATCCAATTTGCAAATGAATTCCAATTCAGCAGTTTCTCGCTGGAGTCTGGATTTGAAGTTTTTTTGTTTTAAGGTAGCGACCTTCATGTCTGTGATTGCGTGACCAGAGAGATTGAAGTGTTCTCCGACTGGTTTATGAATGTTATAATTCTTGACATCTGATTTGTGTCCATTTATTCTTTTACGTAGAGACTGTCCAGTTTGACCAATGTACATGGCAGAGGGGCATTGCTGGCACATGATGGCATATATCACATTGGTGGATGTGCAGGTGAACGAGCCTCTGATAGTGTGGCTGATGTTATTAGGCCCTGTGATGGTGTCCCCTGAATAGATATGTGGGCACAATTGGCAACGGGCTTTGTTGCAAGGATAAGTTCCTGGGTTAGTGGTTCTGTAGGTTCTGAAGGTCGCTATCTTAAAAATTGTAAATTTCATGATTTCAGATATTTAAATCTGAAATTTCAAGGTGGTGTAACTTCACGGGTCCTGACCCAAAAAGGAGTTGGGGGGGAGGGGGTGTTGCGGTACTTCTACCCTTATTTATGTGCTGCTGCCGGTGGGGGCGCTGCCTTCAGAGCTGAGCGTCTGGAGAGCGGTGGCTGCTGGCCGGGAGCCCAGCCCTGAAGGCAGAGTCACAGAAGTAAGGATGGCCTGGTATGGTATCGCCATCCTTACTTCTGCGCTGATGCCTTCAGAGCTGGATCCTTGGTCAGCAGCTGCCAGTCTCCTGCTGCCCAGCTCTGAAGTAAAGCAGCAGCACAGAAGTAAAGGTGTCATGGTCTGGTATTGCAACCCTTACTTCTGCGCTGCTGCTGGCGGGGCGCTGCCTCCAGAGCTGGGCACCTGGCCAACAGCCGCCGCTCTTTGGCCACCCAACTCTGAAGGCAGCGTAGAAGTAAGGGTAGCAATACTGTGACGCCCTGCAAATCCCTTTTGGGTCAGGACCCCCAATTTGAGAAACGCTGGTCTCCTCTGTGAAATCTGTATAGTATAAGGTAAAAACACAGAAAAGACCAGATTTCACAGTCCGTGATGTGTTTTTCAGGGCCGTAAATTTGGTAGGGCCCTCGTGCAGGGGTCGGCAACCTTCAGCACATGGCCCACCAGGGTAATTCACTGGTGAGCTGCGAGATATTTTGTTTACGTTGACTGTCTGCAGGCACGTCCCCCCGCAGCTCCCAGTGGCTGCAGTTTCCAGCCAGTCAGAGCTGTGGGAAATGGTGGCCAGCACGTCCCTGCGACCTGCGCTGCTTCCCACAGCTCTCATTGGCCGGGAATGGCGAACCGCGACCACTGGGAGCTGCGGGGGGCTGTGCCTGCGGATAGTCAACGTAAATAAAATGTCTCGCGGCCTGCCAGCAGATTACCCTGATGGGCCGCATGCTGAAGGTTGCTGACCCCTGCCCCAGTGATTAAGAAATTGTGTGTCTGCAGTGCCGGTTCATATTCACCTATACTGTAATGTAAATAAAACAACAGTTATCATAGCTTTGCATAGGATATGATTGTAATCAAAAACTCATCAGTGACTCAGCAGAAGCATCATGGGTCACATCTGCATAGTCATTGGCCTATTTCCTTTCCTCTGCCAGGCTACTGCTCCCCTCATATTACAGATAAAGTCATCTACACTTAACTGAAATTGCTGTTGCACAGTATATGTTTGCTTATTAATTATTATTTATTTGTATTGTGCTATTGCTGCAAGCCCCCAATCAGGATTTGGGCCCTGTTGTGTTTTGCACTGATACTGTCCCAGTCCGGATTTTGCAGTCTAGCTTAAGACAAGTTGCAGAAGGTGGGTGTGAAGAATAAAAAGGAGCAAGGGGGCGGGGGGGACAAGAGTAATGAAATATCAGTTGATTACATAGGTAGCTAGTGCACAGCTTGATAGGTTTCTGAAGGTACCAACTCTATTTTTTCAATATAAATACATTAAGGTACCCTCAAATGGTACACAATCAAATAATCAATGATTGGTTGATTTATTGTATGCAATTGCCATCTTTTTCATTAAGGGTGGCTCCGTTCTGGTTGAAAAATGGATATCCCCTTTCCTTTTGATAGCATATAAGGAAGCACAGAAGTAGAAAAAAGAAAAACGACTATTGAAAATAGCTAAAAAGGTAGCAAAAGCCACTCAATGCTGCTCTGTCATGCTAGTACCAGGGAACAGCATGCCTGGAGCTTATTGTTGGTCAGACCAACTTTAAACCTGCCATTGTGGTGGTATCCTTTGACAAGGGAGCAGGAGAGTGAAGTCACTGTGGGATAAAGTCAGTGTTGCACAGTCGGTTAGGTGGCCAGCTGTCAAAGGCTATAGTGCCTAGATCAGAGGTCTTTCAGGGGGCATATAAACTCATCTAGATATTTGCCTAGTTTTAGAACAGGCTACATAAAAAGCACCAGTGAAGTCAGTAAAAACTAAAATTTCATACATAAAATGACTTTATTATACTGTTCTGTATCCTATACACTGAAATGTACATACAATATTATATTCCAGTTGATTTATTTAATAATTATATGGTAAAAATTAGAAAGTGGCAATTTTTCAGTAATAATGTGCTGTGACATTGTATGTTTATGTCTGATTTTGTAAGCAAATAGTTTTTAAGTGACATAAAACTTGGGGTAGGCAAGATAAATCAGACTCCTGAAGGGAGTACAGCAGCCTGGAAAGGCTAAGAACCACTGGCCTAGATGATGTGTGAAGGGAATTAATTTAAAACTACAAAACAATGTATGTGTGTGCTTCCCGAATAGTCCCCTTGACACCAAATGAAATTACATCCATAAAGTACCTGTGTAAAGTAAGCCTTGGCTACTGGTTCTTCTATCACATCTAGTCTCTGTGGTCTCCCAACACCTAGGCAATCTTTAGTGTGTTTGACAGTTCCTTTCCTGTTTTTTGTTTAGTATCCCCCCTCCTCTCTCTCACACACACACACTAGTTCTCCATTTCCTTCTGTCTCAGCTACATAACTTCATTCTATATACAGGAGATGACACAGTAGTCAGGGCACTTGTGAATATTCAGCAGGAGCAATCTTGCCTGGGTTAGTCAGGTGATTATACAGTGTCTGTGTGTGAGAAGAAAGACATCCAGGTTTATGATTCAAGGCCGGATCAAATGGCACACAAATGAGAAATAAGGTCGGTTACAGGTGAAAAACCCTCCGTTCTGGAGGTTTCCATGTCCAGCCCTGGTATTTTGAAGAGAAAGGTCTTCCTCTCCTTTAGTCTATCAGTGCCTACAGCTACCAGCAGCAGTGTATGGAAATGTAGCATGGTTTCTGTGTACAAAAACGTCAGAACCCCCCCTCTCCCTAGACGTGCAGCTAACACTCCATCATCATTTTGAGGCCGGGTTTGCAAGTGCTCTCCCCTCCCCCAGCCCAAGGCTGGCAGGTTTTTCTGTGCCTGCTTCCCCGAGCTATTGACCAAAATCTCCCTCTGAAAACAACTATCAAAATCTGCCTCGCTGGTCACAGCGTGAGCCCGGGCTGCCTACAGCTCCCCTCCCCCCAAGTCACAGCCCCCGGCATCCCCTCCCCCTGGAGCTGCTCTCGGCAGGGCAACAAGCCCTCGGGCTGCTGCATTGAGCTCCCTCCTCCACCAGCCGCCGCCGCCATACTGCGGGGCAACCCAAACTTGTTACACACTGGCACCAACTGCTGCTGCTGCTGCTGCCCCCTGTTGCAGGCGCCTCAGCAGCGGCACGCAGAGCAGGGGAAGGCGGCCCGGGAAGCGGAGCGCGAGCGGGGGAGTTGCAGCCTGGCAGGTAGGAGCTTTTGCCCGTGCACGTTGCACGCCGACGGCTGCCTGGCCGAGCTCTTTGGAGCGGCGCGGGGACGCGGAGCCGCCGCCGCCTGCGGGCTGAGTGAGTGGCATCTACGGTTCCAGGATTTGGGTTGCGGTCCGTGTCTGGGAGCGCCGGCCGGCTCAGGGGTGGATTGGCCGGAGGCCCGGGAGGAATTGTCTCGGCTTGCCGCGGCGGGGAGGGTGTTTGTGGGGGCAGCTGGCAGGGGAGGGGGGGCAGAATCTGTGCGCAGGGCTAGGGGGATGGTAGGTGGCTGGGAAGTGGCGCTCCGGAGCGGGGGGCTGGGGAGGTGGGTGAGGGGAAGGGACCGCTTCTCTCGGGTGGGTTTGTTGCTTCACAGGTCGCCTTTTGCAACGCGGCTCCGGTTCTCCCAGGGCTAGGCTCGGCGTTTCCCCACTAAAGCCGCCGCCGCCGCGTCCCTCCCTGCTGTTGCCCAAGCAAGAGCTCGCGCTGCCAGCCGCCCCAGCCTGGCGGGGAAACGGAGGGGTGGGATAGTGGGGTGACACCCCCCCCTTCGCCGCCGCCGTGCCTCGCGGGCGATGGGGGGGTGCTTCGTTCGCGTTGCGTGTGAACACACACACCTGACCTGAGTGGGGAACCTGCGTGGACACGAGCCCCCCAGAAGCCTGGGGACAAACCACACCCGCTCTTTTCCGGTCCCTGTCTCATGTAAAGAGGCAGGTTTCTACTTGCGTTTCACGGTCACAAGGGGAGAGCTGTGAAAGTGCTGATCCTCCCTGGGGTTGCGCCCCCCCGCCAATCGGATTGTGCAGCAGTTTAAAGGAGCCAGGAGGGAGAGTCTGGGAGAGAAGTGAAGGGAAGGCCGAGGCGCTGCTGCTTTCTCCAGCAGTGACAAACTGAAGGAGGGAGCGCTGGAGAAAAATGAAATAGCGAGCTTTAAGCTCTGCTCAGACCCATTACAAAACTTCTGCCTTGGCGTGAGATGCTTTGGAAGAGACGCCTCCTGTCTCTCCTTGACAGCTTCATCCGTTTTTCCCCTTCCAGCCCTGTTTGCCCCCGCTGGCTGTTGTCCCCCTTGCTCCAGCCCTGCAGTCCAAATCTGGTTCTCTCTCTCACCAGCTCCACTCCAGCTGCCTAGCGAAAAGGCGAGGCTGCTCGTTTGGTTTAAGCTTGCACTGGGAGTCCTATCCTCAGGCAGTTTGGGTGGGGTAAAGCAATACGTTTTGTGGTGTTGTGTTTGTCTTCTGGTCACAACCTATTATTTGGTTTTGTTATTCCAAATAGAGAAGAGGACGCTGTTGGTCTGAGCTGCACCTGTTGTAGCAGATTGGCTGCACTGAGTTGAACCTCTTGGTGTGTTGCCAGGATCAACAAGTAAAGGATATTTGAGCTGGCTGCTTGTTTTTTGGTAAATACCAATCTGAGACATTTTCATTGAACAGGAAAGTGGCTTGTTTACCTCTAATCAAAAGGTGTAGATTGCTTGGCACTGAACTTGTGGTATCATGGTGCTTAAGTCAGGATTTCTGTTTAAAATCTCATTCTTACATGAAACAGAAATCAAGCCTGTATTTGATGCTTAATGTTTGGAAACTTGCTGCATATGTTTTCAAAGAACCACTGTGTATTCTTTTATTTCTCAGCTGTGGTAAGATTTTATATCAGCTTTTTGCAGAGGTGATGAGGTTACAAAAGATGCATGAAATGACATCAGAGTTTCTTGTCAATTCTTATTTGCCCTCAAGCTAATTATAAATGAAAATCTTCTGTGCTCTCAGTCTAAGGTATATGTTATTTGGTAATGTGTTCTGAGGTTTAGACACCAGGCAATCTCCAGTTTATAATTCTTTTGCATAAAGATAATGCAGTGACCATAAATTTCAATGGTGCATACTTTGGCTTAGATGTAATGTATTGATATTAATATATAATGCATCCTGTGGGGGATGACTGTACCTGCCCTAGCATGCGGATGGATTATGTCAGTGGTTCTCAACCAGAGGTCTAGGGCCCACTGGGGGGCTGCGAGCAGGTTTCAGGGGGTCTGCCTGGCAGAGCCGACATTAGACTTGCTGGGGACCAGGGTAGAAAGCCGAAGCCCCATCGCCTGGGTCTTGGTGTTTTATTGCAATGTAGACATATCTTTAGTGTCCAGCAGAGCTGAAAAGCTCATTCTTTGTGAAAGGAGCCATTTTCCTTCCTGCCCAGCTAAAATAACTATCATGGCTTTAGTTGTTCTTAAAAAACAAAGCAACACAAAAACCACTCTTCTGAACTTACCTTTTGACTGTGTACAGGTTTCTGCAACCATATTTTGGATCAAATCCTTGACCACTCTGCAAAATCTGAGCAAACAAACTTTGCATAGGTTTGCCCTGGGAGACCCAGAATTCTCTGCTTCAGGCAGAGAAGCTTAATAGCCACTACTGAGGCCCTAGCTTATTCAGCACCTGTTTTTTGGTTTTTTTTTCCCACCAAGTGAGGCGTTCTGACCAGACAACGTGTAGTGGCAAATTTGATTACTCGCTTGCCTTCAAATCTTCCAATGCATTGCTGCAGTTACAGGAATCGGAGTACACTCCTCTGATACCTGTAGGCAGTTCAAAGTACCTCTCTGCAGATTTGTAATCTGCTAACTCCACAAAGTGGAACCCACTGTGTTTAGGGTCCTCCTTCTGATGCAGGGGATGTGGTAGGGGCCCAGTTTTGCCCTTGGAGTGCTACAAGGGTTTTCTGCTGTTGCCATAGTTGGTTTGTTCTCAGTCAAGGCCCCCTCTACTAGGGACGTAAATATTTCATTCAAGGCCCTCTCTACTAGGGATGATTAAAATTACATTGTTTAACTGGTTAACCATTAACTGAGGTCGCTGTGGCGGGCCAGCGCTGGGAGGTAGGGGCTGGGGTCCTGGTGGGGCTGGGGTCCCGGTGGCACGGCCAGGGCTGGGGTCCTCCAGCTCGCCGCAGCTGGGGTTCCGCCGGCTGGCCAGCCCGCCAAAGCCTGCCTGCCCACCCAGCACGGATGGGCTGGGGTCCCACCTGCCCTGCGTGGATGGGGTCCTGCCTGCCCAGCTGGGGCTGCTCTGGCTGGCCCTGCGCGTGGCCGGCGTGCCACCAGGGTTAACGGTTAAGGTCCGGTTAATGGTAAGCCTAATTAACCTTTTACATCCCTACTCTCTACACTGCATTTACTAACCATGGCTCCAATTCTGCAACTGCATCCACACAGGTGGACCCCGTGCAGAATAACGCTGAAGTCAGTGGGTTTCATACAGGGGCAGGGATATGCGTGTTCAGACACAACTGCAAAATCAGGCCTTAAGTTTGCAATTTTCTAACAGGAAAAATGTTTACACAGTTCTCTAGGAAAGTGCTAACAAAATAGGTATTTCAGACAGATTATAAGAGGCAGTAACTAAATTTGCATGCCCAACCTCAGACACTTAGTACCTGTAAAAATTAGGCATGGAGGACCCACCATTCCAGCTGATGAGAGCTATGAATCCTGAGTGCCTCTGAAAACTGGGTATTGGGTGAAGAGCTGGATGAAATTTTTCAGCTGAAACTTTTTTTCCACTGAAAAATGTGGATTTGGGTCATCTGAAACATTTTGAGAATTTGTGTCGACTTTGCCAAATTGTTTCAGTTTTAAAAAAACCAACGAAACAAAAAACCTACACATTTAGGAAAAAAAAAAAACCCACAATGTTTTGTTCTGACAATTTCAAAATAAAATATTTTGATTTTTCAATTCAAGAAGACTGTTTTCAGATTTCCTTCAATATTATTTAAAATAATCTAAAAAAGCTTCAAAACAAAACATTTAGTTTCCAGTCAAACAAAACATTTCATTTGATCCAATTTTAAGAACTGTTAGCAAACAGAAAAATCAGTTATTCACACAGGTCTAGTTAGGTGTCAAATTGGGCATTCAAAAGTTAACACAAAATCAGTGTTACTTTGGAAAATGGTGGCCTTGCTATAGAAAAAACTAAATTGCTGAGTGGAACAGCAGAATGTAGTGTAAACTTCAAGACTCCACTATTCTTCTGATTTTATTTATTTATTTATTTTGATGAAGGGCCAGAAGTTGTGGAACGAGAGGCCTAACAGACCTAATAACCTAGATGTCCCTGAGCCCGGTCTCTAGCCTGAGCCAGAACGTCTACACTGCAATTTTATAGCCCCACAGCCTGAGGCCCACGAGCCTGTCAGCTGACATGGGCCAACTGCAAGTGTCTTCTTGCAGTGTAGACATATCCTAAGGATTCAAGGGAAGATTTGTGTGAAGACTTACTTTCATTTAACCAACGCTGTTGCTGCTTTCTGTTTCCTAGTAATAGATGGGTCACTTAAAAAAAAATGCTTAAGCAACTATTGTATTATACAGACATAATAATACGTTGCATGAGTACAACTGCCCTCTGCCAAAGGAGAATGGCTTTGAACTTTTTCTGGGGCTTTTTATGAGTCCTGCCATAAAGACTGCCTGAGAGTTACATGAATCCCCTGGATGCCCTGGCCCTGCCATTTCCATTTCCCTAAGGAGCCCTCCCCAGTTGCCATAGCACAGACTGTTTTACAGTGGCTGTCTCTGTGTGAATCCTGTGAGGGAGGACTGTGGAGGCATGGTGAGTAGGCTCCACCAGCTGTGTGGAGCCGCTTGGCCATGATGTGAGGTTGCAGCGGGCTGCATGTGCTCTCTTTGCTCTGCTCCTTTCAACTCTCTCACATACCACCTGCACAATACCTGTTTACTTGAACATTTGTTGTAGTAAGAATTTTTGTCTTACAAAGTAGAACATAGCTTGTATTTTGTTACAAATGTTAGTGAAAATAATGAGTTCTTTGAATTACATGCAGTGTTGAAATAGTCTATTTGTTTTAAAGCCAAGAGTTAATTACTGTAAGATCTAAGACTTGCCGTACATAGTCTGCAGAAAGTGCTGTGTAAATCAACAGATATGTATTGTCTCTAGGAAATACTTTAACCAAAGAGTCTTTTTCTTCTTTAGATCAATGTGAATGGTGCTGCTATAAGGGAATTACTCTGGAATATTATTTAAATTAGGGATATAAATATTGCTTAAAGTTAAGCGGTTACACAATTAAAATTATATCATTTAACCAGTTAATCATTAACCGAGGTCACTCCAGTGGGCCAGCAGCAGGGGCTGCGGGCCAGGGCTGTGGTCCTGCCTGCCCGCTGTGGATGGGATTGGGGCTGGAGCTGCTCCGGTACGGCTGTGGCTGGGGTCTCACCTGCCCATCATGGATGGGGTCCCGCCGGCCACCGGGGTTTAACAGTTAAGGTCCAGTTAACGCTGAACCTAATACTTACCAGTTAATGTTTAAGCTTTTACATCCCTAATTTAAATTCTGTAATGTTTATAGATATCTTATGATTTGTTTGTTGGCTTTAGAAAATAAGAAATTCCAAAAAGCAGTTGTTGTCATTGCTTTTTTTGTCTAATGTAGGAAATGAAACATTTTCTGATGAAAGAATACAGAGTATTTCAAATGTTCAAGGAAAATATCCTTTTTTCAACAGGTTTCAGAGTAGCAGGAGTGTTAGTCTGTATCTGCAAAAAGAACAGGAGTACTTGTGGCACCTTAGAGACTAACAAATTTATTAGACCATAAGCTTTCATGGGCTACAGCCCACTTCATCGGATGCATAGAATGGAACCTATAGTTAGAATCATAACATTCAAAAACTCGTAGGAGAACACTTCAACCTCTCTGGCCGCTCAGTAAAAGACTTAAGGGTGGCAATTCTGCTCCAGAAAAGCTTCAAAAACAGACTCCAACAAGAAACTGCTGAGCTTGAATTAATATGCAAACTAGATACCATTAACTTGGGTTTGAATAGAGTCTGGGAGTGGCTGGGTCATTACACATATTGAATCTATTTCCCCATGTTAAGTATCCTCACACCTTCTTGTCAACTGTCTAAATGAGCCATTTTGATTATCACTACAAAATTGTTTTTCTCATGCTGATAATAGCTCATCTTAATTAATTAGCCTCTTACAGTTTGTATGGCAATTTCCACCTTCTCTGTATGTATATATATCTCTTCTTACTATATGTTCTATTCTATGCATCTGATGAAGTGGGCTGTAGCCCATGAAAGCTTATGCTCTAATAAATTTGTTAGTCTCTAAGATGCCACAAGTACTCCTGTTCTTTTTTCAACAGTATTTGTTGGGCAAAGACATATTGAAATAAGAAGTGACAGTGACGGAGAGTGGTATTTATCAAAGTTGACTGACATAATTTATACAGTGAAACTTAAATGCAGATCATTATAAGAACCAAAATTTTCTGTGATTTACATGAGTCTAAAGGGGATTTTTCAAGGTGCAAGGTCACTTGTGTTGTTTGTAAACTTAGTAGGTTTTTTCTTGTTTTAAATTAAACCTTAGTTACTTATTCATGTGACTGA